TTTCCCCAGTCCCCAAGGCCCTCGGGATCCTGGGTGCCTGCACACACACCTGTTATGTTTTCAAAACAACCCAGGCATCTGAACCCACAACTGGCCACGTGGCTTCCAGCCTTGCAGGGCACTTGTGTAACTGCTGCTCCATTGGCTAGGCTATCAAATCTGTCTTTTGTTATGGGGTCCTCACCAATGAACCTAGGATGAGTAGGTAAAAAGCTAGTTTTCCTTCTCTACAAAGTAAAAAAGGGAATATGTGTGTTGCGGACAGAGGAGAACAAACTTGGGTACCTGAAAATCATGGATCTACTTTACTAGTTCTGCAATATCTACATTCATAAGAAAGAAAAAAACTTCAACATTATTTAACCAGATTTTCTTGAATTGCAATCACTCAACTTGGATCTAATTCTAACTAGCACAGGAAGGTATTTTATTATCCCTATTATAGATGAAAAACCAAGAAGTTAAATTGATTGCCCAAGGTCACACCACTAATAAGTAGCAGAGTTGGGATTTCAAACTAGATAGTCCAGTTACAGTGCGTGCTCTTACCCATTGTGATATTTTGCCTCAATTATTAGAAAAAAGAATATGGGGACCAGCAGTTGGTGTAATGGCTATGTCACTGGACTCCCACGTAGTTGATCGCAGTTTGAGTACTGGACCTGGTGGCTTAAGCTCACGCTGAGCGCGTGTGCGTGCGTGCCCAAGATCCCAAGAGGAGAGTGGAGGAGAAGGGATTGTGGCATGGCCATCCCTCCTGCGGGGTGATTCCCCACTTTCTGTCTCTGTCTTTCTGGCGAGTATACGCACCCTATAGCAACAACCTCTCAAAAAAAATAAAAGAAAAGGGACTGAAAGGTGGCATGGTGGTTAATGTAGATGGATCCCACATGGTCATCTGCGCAGTTAAGAGCTCCAGACCTGGTAGCTGTAAAAACATGCCAGGCCGTGCATGTGTGTGCCCCAAATCCTGAGAATGAAAGAGAAGGGACTGTGGTGTGGCCACCCCCCTGGGAGTACTTTCTCCTCTCTCTGGCAAGTAGCAAAGTTACCACCAAAAAAAAAAAAAAAAATTTTGGGGGTAATCACCCCCCAAAAGCAAAACCCCCCCAAAAAAAAAAAAAAAAAAAAAAAAAAAGATTGTCATCTGTTTCTAGATTCGTCCTCCTAAACTTTGTCTCAAACTTTCAACAATTTCTTAGTCACATACATTCTCCTTAAAATGTGTAATTTCTCCCTACTACTTTTCCTCTGGTTAATTTACCATAAAATAATACCGTATTTACTTAGGTAAATAATTATAAAATTATAAAATAATACCATATTTACTCAAGTCTTAGGTCTTAATGAAAAATGTATATATAGGAAAAAGACACAGTATAATCTAGTGCAACTAGAGACATTAGAAATCACGTCTAAATTTTGATATTAAGAAGTTGTGAGAGGGTAAATCAAAGAGCTAACCTCACAGGACTTCAATTTCTTCTGTATATCGAGGGCCTTGGAAAATACTCAAATCCTCGTGAATCTAAGAAACTGCTTTACTTCCAGAAGCAGTAAAACCCACACCAATTGTCTTATCATCACAATTGGTGCGTGTACTCTGTGCTCTTATAAAACACCTTTTCGGAACTAGCAGTTAGCATAATGGCTATGTCGCTGGACTCCCACGTAGTCGACTGTGGTTCGAGTCCCGGACCCGGTGGCTTAAACTCACGCTGGGCGCGTGTGCGTGCGTGCCCAAGATCCTGAGAGGAGAATGGAGGAGAAGGGATTGGGGGGTAGCCCCCCCCCCCCCCGGGGGGTGGATTTCCTGCTCTCTATCTCTCCGTCTCTCTCTGTCTGTCTGGCAAGCGCACGCGCCCTATAGCAAAAACCTCTCCAAAAAAAGCAAAAAACACCTTTTCTGGGATCAGCAGATGGCATAATGGTTACGTCACTGGACTCCCATGTAGCCGACTGCAGTTCAAGTCCTGGACCCAGCATCTTAAATTCATGCCAGCCCCATATGCATTTGTGCCCAAAATCCCAAGAGGAGAATGGAAGAGAAGGGATTGAGGAGTAGCCATCCCTCTCCCCCAGCATGTATGTGTGTGGGGGGGTGATTTCTCACTTTTTGTCTTTCTCTGGCAAGCGCATATGCCCTACAACAAAATCTCTTTTAAAAAAATCATTTCTACCATGGAGTTATTTTAACAGAACGATGGCTTTTCAGTTCCTAATTGAATCTTTTTTTTTTTTTTTCCTCCTGGGTTTTTAAAGAAGCGGTTACTCTGTCTCCTTGGAATGGCTACTGCTTCAGGGCACACCGCCCAAGCCTCCAGCTGGCAGCACCCACATGTCTATGCAGAAGACTCTCTGTGGCCCAAGCCTCACCTACCTGAGTAGTGTACAGGCCATGGACGCCCCTTGTCTTTACGGGGACCAATTTCAGTTGAAAACTGACAGGAGCTAGTTGCCAATGAGTGACGGAAATACCTTAGTTTCCTTGCATCCCAGGTGGGATAACTGAGATGTGTTTTCACTGCTTCCAGAACTCCAGACTGAAGTATCAACTTGTTGACAAGGAGCACTTTTGTACTGGCTTTTTTTCATCCGTCTCAATTCTCTTCCCCCCTAATGGTGTTTCCTGGGACTGTCTCCTAACTATACTACCTAGACTCAAATACTTGTCTCAGTGTCAACCTCTTGGGAGGGGAGAGGGGGACTCAAGCTGATTTCTTAGAACAACTCTTCAGCAGCATTTTATCACACCCCATCTGAGACAGTTGGATTCCTTCCTCATGCACTAATACTACAGCTGTATATTAAAACCAATACACTTAGGCCAGCAAATCGAGTAGTGATTATGTCACTGGACTTCCACATAGCTGACCATGGTTGGAATCCTGGACCCAGTGGCTTGAAACTCACACCTGGTGCATGTGTGCCCAAGATCCTAAGAGAAAAATGGATAAAAGATTGCAGAGTGGCTATCCCCGCTGAGGGGTGATTTCTCACGTTCCCACTCACTGTCTCTATCTTTCTCTTTCCAGCAAGCACACATGCCCTAAGACAAAAACCTCCTAAAAAGAATGATGAAGTGAACAGCAGTTAGCGTAATGGCTATGTTGTTGTATTCCCATGTAGTCGACTGTGGTTCGAGTCCCGGACCGGTGGCTTAAAACTCACGCCCGGCGCATGTGCGTGCATGCCCAAGATCCTGAGAGGAGAATGGAGAAGGAATTGTGGCATAGCCATCAACCCTGGGGGGGGATTTCTCGCTTTCTGTCTCTATGTCTCTGTCTGTCTGGTGAGCGCACGCACCCCATAGAAAAAAAAAAAAAAAAAGAATGCTGAAAATTGGGATATTACCTACAAATTACCCACTCTGTAACAGGCTTTCTTAAGAATTTTTGTGTTATTTTTCTATATATACTTGGTGCTCAAAAGTAGTAGGGATCTTCGTTTCATGCTGTTTATTATTTTGGAAATTGTTAAAGATTAAATACTTAGGCCAGAGGACATAGTGGTTAAGGTGGACTCCCACATGGTGGACTGCAGTTTCAGTCCCGGACCTAGCAGCTTGGAACTCATGCTGGCTGCGTGTGTGTGCATACCCAAAATCCTGAGAGCAGAAAGGATGAGAAGGGACTGCAGCGTGGCCATCACCCCCAATGAGTGATTTCTCACTCTCTCTGGGCCAGCAAATGTGCCCTTTAGCAAAATCTCTCAAAAAAAAAAAAATTAAGGAAATAAAATATATCCTATGGAATGTACTGGATTGTTACTATGGATTTTGCTATACTGGATCTTAGATCATTTGGTTTGAAAATTATGTAGTCCAAGGCTTTAGTTCACTTGCCAAAAATGGACACGCATATCACTGATCGTCTTTTATTTAGAAGTAAACTTTTGGAAACCATTCTGTTTTCCCATTTAAATATTTAGAATGGAATGGATTCTGTGTACCGTGTTTCTAAATCATAGTAAGATATGATGATCTCAATTCAATTTAATAATCATAAGAAACAATCTATAAAAAATGAAAAGGGTCATGTGAAAACATTAAGGCAAAATATAACAAGGCGGTGTGTTCTCTATTAGATCCTATCACCACAGAAAGAAAACAAGTGTTATATTTTAAATCCACTTTTTATTCTTTCATAGATTTTAACAATTATACACAACTTTTAACATAAAGATAGTGAAATCTCAAGGGTAGGGAGGCAATATATATGGCCTCTTCTAGTCATTCTTCAGGATGGAAGGAAATTCCAAAGGGCACAACTGTGAGATTTAACACTGGAAAAATACATAGGAAACTTATTTAACTGGCTCCACTTAGGACCAGGTACAGCACAATAAATATAGAACAATTGTTAAAGATTAAATACTTAGGCCAGAGGACATAGTGGTTAAGGTGGACTCCCACATGGTGGACTGCAGTTTCAGTCCCGGACCTAGCAGCTTGGAACTCATGCTGGCTGCGTGTGTGTGCATACCCAAAATCCTGAGAGCAGAAAGGATGAGAAGGGACTGCAGCGTGGCCATCACCCCCAATGAGTGATTTCTCACTCTCTCTGGGCCAGCAAATGTGCCCTTTAGCAAAATCTCTCAAAAAAAAAAAAATTAAGGAAATAAAATATATCCTATGGAATGTACTGGATTGTTACTATGGATTTTGCTATACTGGATCTTAGATCATTTGGTTTGAAAATTATGTAGTCCAAGGCTTTAGTTCACTTGCCAAAAATGGACACGCATATCACTGATCGTCTTTTATTTAGAAGTAAACTTTTGGAAACCATTCTGTTTTCCCATTTAAATATTTAGAATGGAATGGATTCTGTGTACCGTGTTTCTAAATCATAGTAAGATATGATGATCTCAATTCAATTTAATAATCATAAGAAACAATCTATAAAAAATGAAAAGGGTCATGTGAAAACATTAAGGCAAAATATAACAAGGCGGTGTGTTCTCTATTAGATCCTATCACCACAGAAAGAAAACAAGTGTTATATTTTAAATCCACTTTTTATTCTTTCATAGATTTTAACAATTATACACAACTTTTAACATAAAGATAGTGAAATCTCAAGGGTAGGGAGGCAATATATATGGCCTCTTCTAGTCATTCTTCAGGATGGAAGGAAATTCCAAAGGGCACAACTGTGAGATTTAACACTGGAAAAATACATAGGAAACTTATTTAACTGGCTCCACTTAGGACCAGGTACAGCACAATAAATATAGAACTGCATCATCTTTTCAAAAGATTGTTGTAATTGTAACACAGGATTACTAAAGAAATACGACCAGTGACCAATCTGAAATTCTACAACACAGAGGTGAAGGGACACTTACAGGGAGGTCTGAGCACACGTTCCAGCATCTTCACACTCACACCTCAATGTTCTTAAAAGAATGAAACTCAGAAATAAAAACAAACTTGGTCAAACGTTCTTCATCATATCATTCACTACTATCCCAATCCTACTTTGATGGTGAGTTTAAGGTACAAATAGGAAGTCTTTAAAAGCCTTTTCATTTCCACTAGTCTTAGGGCCTCTGGATAGGAGACCAAATTGGAAGCAAACTGATTAAGCAGCACCGTCAAGTCCGTATCTCAAATTATCGCATAATTTTTATCTGTCGATATTCTGAAAGGTTAAAAGAAGTTGTATGGAAGAATAACAGGCCACTGTCAAAACACGCAACTGCAAAGATCGAAACAGAACTATACTTGAATTCTTTACTGCCTGCATCTTTCCTTAATAAACCAAAAGAGATGAAGTATTTAAAAAATCTAAATAACAACATACGCAGGGCATAAAATACTTCATTTATGCTATTATATTTGGGTATTTGAGATTATTTGACATTCGCATACCCTTTCCTCTTCCCGGAGGGGAAGCAACGGTAGCAGCACTATCGGTCAGAAAGAGTTCATGGGAAACAGTCGTTCTCAGAGCTGCTCTGCAGTGTGCCTTACTATCCAAACACAGAAACTATTATTTTTAAACACATACTTAAAAGATAGGATGAAGTCTTTTTTTGCTTCACATAACCTAGATTCTGTCAGCAGAAATCATAAGAATTCATTGCGTCCCTATCACACAGAATGGAAACTGTTAAAATGCTATGGCCTTAGATATTCCGGTAAACTTTTTGAGCCATTGAATCAAAAGCCACAAGGAAGAAGGCAGTATTTTTTACCATTGGTAAACTTGTTGTTGAAAAATTCAATAAGCAAATAAACATGCAAATATGTGACATAAATCATTACTCTGTAAAAACATAATGCCACTCTGGCCCCGAGAATGACAACACCTAAGCTGGTCCGTAAAGGTGCATATGGCCTTTAACGGCTACTAAATATCTACCCTACGGCATTTTTTGCCCATCACACTGCCACATGATCCTTAGAAGCTGAGGTTTCTAAGATGTTTGAGGAAAAGAAAGGAGGTGTGATGTAGATCAAGTTTTCAGTGATTGCTTTGAATGTAATTTTAAGAAGAATTTTCTAGTAATGAAGTATATAATAGTCCTCGATACTAATTTTTCCCTAGTAATTTAAAGTATGCTTTAACAAGACAATATTAATCTAAGCTTGACCATCTGGTTCTTTTCATTTTTTAAAGGGTACTAATGCATACAGTGTGCTGAACCCCACAAATTCCTGTTTTAAAAATAGTATAGTTCCCAACAGTTTCCCATACATATTCCTGATTTATCCTGGGAGAAGCAATGCATAATTGGAACACTAATTATTCATGTTTTTAAAAAGTAAATATTCCCTGCAAAGCAGTTCCTTAGCAAAATGCTAAGTTGCAAATGACTTTACCGCAAAGATAGTGAGTCATTTCACAAAGTACCTGTCAAAAGATATAGAAATCTGGCCTTCTATTCCAAATCCGCTGCGAAGAGTACATGCAGTAGTCCTGTTTACAGTTTAATGGAGATGAGGGAAGGGCACACCTAGGATGGGGTGGTCCCCTACATGTAAGGTTACAGTAGTGTAGCCGTTATGTATCGTATTTACTACATTCACCACTTCAGATAAAGGATCAGGGAGGCCCTTCAAACACTGGAACAAAGGAATGTTTGTTTTATATAAGACCTACCAAATAAACAGTGAAACAAATAACACACATAGGCACTAGTCTCAAAGCTGCACAATAAAGAAGCAAAGGGTCTGAGATGAGAAATTTAGGAAAATATACACATGAGTTTGCTGAGGAAAAAAAAAATCACAGTTTAATCTTCAAGGCTACGGAATGCATTCTGCATATCTTCAAGAAGTTGTGCATAGTCACTCTTGATCTTCGCCTCACCATCTTTCACTGGATCCTGAAAAAAGACATTGCAGATTTCATAAATGTGTGGTGAATTACTTATATTTTATATAAGTAACTTTATACACACACACACACTTACATGTGCATTTTTTTAAAGAGAGATTTTTTTTTTTCTATGGGGCATGTGCACTTGCCAAAGAGATAGATAAAGACAGAGAGACAGAAAGTGAGAGATCACCCCCAGAAGGGATGGCCACATTGCAATTCCTTCTCCATTCTTCTCTCAAGATTTTGGGCATGGACGCACACACGCCTGGCTTGAGTTTTAAGCCGCTGGGTCTGGGCCTCGAACTGCGGTCAACTACATGGAGTCCAGTGACATAACCAGTACATCATCTGCTGGTTTCCTAATATACTTTGAGAACAAGGTTAAGCGAGATACAAAGGCAGGCATCAAAACTATGCCCATTTTCTTTTTCTTTAAAGGTAGAAATGTATTAAATAGAGTCATACTACAACCATGCAGGAGAAACAAAATCAGTTTTGGATTGTGTGTGCTAATAGCATTCAATGGCCAAAGGATTTAGCTTCAACAATGTGTCCGGTAGTGGGAAATCATACAGCATCATGTACTGGAAGCATGTGACTGTGTGTGAATGATCACTAGAAATTAATCAAAATGTAATTTACCATTCAAGGCCTCATGGCATGACATGGGGATGGAGAAGTAAAATTTGGAAAATACTTGTTAAAATCCACCATATTTAAAACCTAATGTTAAATTTAATAGGTGTAATAGGTGCTTTCTCTCTCCCTTCCTCCCTCCTTCCCTCCCTCCCTCCCTCTCTCTCTCTCTCTCTCTCTGGCAAGGGCACATGCCCTCTGACCAAAAAGAAAAAAGAAAAGAAACTTAGTTGGGAAATATATATGAAAGAGACTTTAGGGCCAGCAGATGGCTCAGTGGTTACGTCACTGGACTCCAACATAGCCAACCGCGGTTCCTGTCTCAGACCCAGTATATATATATATATGTGTGTGTGTGTGTCCAAGATCCCAGGAGGAGGATGGAGGAGACGGGATTGTGGACATCCCCCTGGGAAGTGATTCCTCACTTTCCCTCTCACTATTTCTGTCTCTCTCCAGCAAGCACATGTGCCCTAAGGTGAAAAATTCCCCCCAAAAAGAGAGACTTTAAAATGTCCACATTTTCTGACCTAATCATTCCACTTTTGAGAAAATACATAAAATCAACTTCATGAAAAACTACATGGCTGTTCACATCAACAACTGGAAATTTCTTAAATTCCTAAAATAGGAAAATATTACTCTCATGCCACAAAATAATGCTACAGAAAAATATTTAATGGCATTCAGTAGAAAAAAAGGTTTATCACTTTTAATCACACTACCAGAAACTTATCAGTATTATATTTTTCTTCCTCTGAATATATTTTTAAGAGCGGTGAGGAGAAAGCACCTCCACAGAAAATAGTCATGCTGCAATCCCTTCTCATCCCTTTCCCTCCTTTCAGGGTTTCGGGCACACATGTGCCTGTTAGGTTTCTCAAACCACTGGGTCCAGGACTCCAATCGCATAGTGAGCCATGTGGGATCTGGATGCCTAAACCACCAGGCCGTGGAGTCAACCCTAATATTCTATCTCATGAACATGCCACAGGCATACTGGAGACACTGTACAATGTTGGATGACATTTAAGAAGTTTAATAAATAACCTTTTATATATATATCCATATTAAAAATCTGATTATATTTCAAAGTAGAATGACAGCACCCAAAGTCTGAATATTTTAAAATTCTTGATACAAGGAGTATCTAGTTGTAAAGGTTTCTCTTTAGTCTATAGTGTGAATGGACACACATACACACATTCTCTTTTTTTCTCTGTAGATACATACACATGCAAGTATAGTTTAAAGATCTTTATGTCACATACACACTCAAAGAATCATCTTCAATAGGTGATTAGTAAATATGTCTGGATGTCATGACTTAGAAATAACTATGATTCAACTAATCCAATATTTTCAGAACAATCTCATACATTTGAGTTTCTACTGATAATTTAACTACCTATTTTTATCTTGTGTACTTTCAAACAAGAAGCCACTTAAAAGTTAAAAATTGACGTGCAATGAATGATATTTAAAAGAAGTAAATGACAGACATTATTTCAGAAGAACAATGAGAGCTAGATGTTAACAGGCACTTGAAGTAAGGTAATTGCTGCTCAGCAATGAATTCAGCTCAAAATCCCTGGCAGTTAAGACAAAAGGGAAAACACGTCAGCAGTTATTTTAGACATGACATACTATCATTTTATCATTAGAATTCCTACTTGAACATAACCTTGGGGCCTGTTGCGGTTTTACACAACCTAAACATGTATGAGAATGATAAATACTAGTTTCATACCCCAGGTTTGGTACTCAAATGCTCAGAAAAATAAAAAAAGACACACTTCCTCCTAAAAAGTTACAGTAGAAACAAAATATACCTTGAATTTCATGGAGGAAAGTTTATAGAGGATCTCTCCCATGTGCTCACGGATAATGGACCACGTGATTTTATTGTCACTCTGGGCAGTGGTTTCAACAGCCCGGCGTGCCATGTCATAAAACGCAATCATGTTGGACAGCATGCCTACTGTCTTGTAGAATGGGCAGAACCTGGACAAATAAAGGTAAAAAAAAAACAAAAACCAACTCCAACACAGGTTCATACTTATATAAAACCTTATCTATAAACCATCAGAGCATTAGCTTCTTTATTTAAATATGCAGACTACTTTAATTTACTAGATGATACACAAGGGACGAAAAAAGAATAGTAGAGAAGACCAATAATGACTTAACCAGAGTTTTTGGACAGAGATGTCTCAGGATATGGGATGAATAAATAGATAAATATTCTTTTTTCAATTTTAAGGGTGATATTTGTTTTTCTCTCATAAAATCATCAGAGGAGGAAAGGTGAAACTGTACTGCTATGATCTAATGACTCCAGAGGGTTATTTTTATATAGCGTGGTTACACAAGTAACCCAAGTAACCCAAATGGTGAATTAACTAGTTGTAAAGATTCTCTTGTGATAGTGGGTTAAGATTTAATGAATGATAGAAAATTACAAGTTCCTAAAGTTAAGAGTAGGCCCTTTCCCCTTGATGCATTCATTTTCATTTACTCGTACCTTTCAATTATGGACACAAAAGCAAATATTCACCTCTGATCACCTTCATTCTTATCAACTTTCTGACATATTTAAATACATTTGCACACACAATTCTGCATACTCCTATTACAAAGAACTGTTCCCTGCTGAATCATCTTCGGGTAGACTGAATTATCTGATGTAGTAGATTTCTGAGGCTTACTGAGATACTGGCCTATTTTCTGCTTGCCCTATGTTCTGCTAATCCTTCCATTCGCTCAGTTCCCTCTTTAGTTATATGTGGGGGCAAACATGATTTGATGGAGAAAGAAAAGAGAACCTTAAACAAGCCTTGACAATAGCAGAGACTAAAATAACAAAAAGCAAGCACTGGGTAGGAGTTCAGGGGTGGCAGAGCCACTTAACAGGTACTTCGGTGCTGGGTCACTGGGAAAGTCGGGATGCATTTCTGCACAGAGATACAGAAAAACACATCATGACTTTTCTAATGACCCGATATAAAGAAAGAGAGATAGGATTGTTAAGAAATGAGGCAGGAAAGCAGAACGTAATTATTAGGAAAAGAGTGAAGAAGACATGGGCAGTAGAAAAAAGTAGTGAAGAAAGCTTCTAGAGGAAGCAATAACTCTAGGTCCTATACATTAAGCCATAATTTAATTATAGGTGGCTGTATGAGTGAAAATAGTGTCATTATTGGATAAATGAGCAAATCAAAACAAAGAGACATACTAGATTACTGTCTGCCATGAATATAAAAAAATAAGCCAACATATTGAGTCAGAGTGTCTGTATAAGAAAAAAGAAGAGATTTCCAATGTGTAGGCAATTCGTTGACCAAAACATAGAAAAATCTTCAAATTATTATTAGGTTGTTGGGAAAATCATGATATAGTTTTCTATGCAAAAATGCATCATGACTTTCCCGACAATCCAAGAAACGAAGGAAACCAGCACGGCTTACCTGTCATAAGGAGTATATCCATTCTGTTGCAGGAAGTCATCTTTAATAAGTTTTGCTACTTCTAGAGTGATCTTATCTGTTTCTGCTAAAGAAGCCTAGAGAAGGAAAGACATATTATTAGAAATCTGGGCCCAGTGCACACGGGACACTGCTACTTGGCAGGCTCAGGCCATATGGGAGGCCTGGGTTCCCTATCTGCCACCCTAAAGAAGTTGGGTGTAGCGGCTACTTGGGGGGCTGAGGCAGGAGGGCGGTGCTCATGGATCAAAACAGGCAATACGTGAGATCCTATCTGAAAGAGCTGGTCCTGGCAGCACATGTCTGTGGTCCAGCTACTCAGGAGGCTGAGGCAGGAGGATCCTGATACAGCAAGGCCCTGCTAGAACCACACACACACACACACACACACACACACACACACACACACACGAGGATCATGATACAGCAAGGCCCTGTCTAGAACGCCACACACATACACACACACACACACACACACACACACACACACACGAGGATCATGATCACAGAGAGGATCATGATACAGCAAGGCCCTGTCTATAACACCACATATGCACGTGCACGCACGCACACACACACAGAATTTTACTTCCACAATGTAGGATCAAGAGTGGGTATTAATTAGCAAGCAGAAGCTATATAATGAAACATAGTTACCTACCATTAATAGATTCCCTTCACAACTGGTTTTTGAATGGTAGTCTTTTAAAAAAAAAACACTTCACCATGGCAGCACCAGATGACATGCCCAACAAATGTACACCCGGTCCTCTAGCCACACGCCCGGCCATATGGGAGTCCAGCGCCATAACCACATGCCACCTGCTGGCCCCACATCATGACTTTCCTGACCATCCAATATATTGGTGTTTACAACAGATTTTCTGTGTTGAATCATATTTGTATTCCTGAGATAAACTTGTTCGTGATGCATCATTCTATTATTTTTAATATCCTGCTGGGTCTAGTGAGTAATATTTAATTTAATACTTTAAAATCAATTTTAATAAAGAAAATGAGCCTATAGTTTTCTTTTCTTATATTGTCTTTGGGTTCACAGATGTTTTCTTTTTACTCCTCTTATAGAGCCACTGTACTCTAGAAATACGTATTAATACATGCTATACATGTTAGCTATCTAATAACATTATTCTTTGTAAGGAAAACATTAAGAGATGACTTTATAAGATAAAATACAAAGAACAGAGTCAGATACAGAACTCTAAGAGTCCTGACTAGTATCGCATACTATCTGAGAAATCATTAAATCCAGAATTTAACTTGGCTAAATTTATCACACCACTTTCCTTTGAAATGTCAAAGCACAGACACAAGAATGTAAGTTACTTACTTAAGGTAACACAACTAATTACTGGAGGAACTAGAATCCAATCCTACTGATTCCTAGACCAAGTATTTCTATAAAATATATATGATAATAGACCCTAACTCTACCACCTCTATTTGTGGGTGGGTACGTTCTACTTCAAGAAGTAAAAATTAGGTAGAGTGTCTCTTTCTTACCTACAATATACCCAGGCTCACAATAAGTGCTATAAGAAAACTAAAAATCTGAATTAGTTTTATAAATTATTTAATAAATATTCACTTGGCCAAGCAAGAGTCTGTATATCCAATGTTCTGTCTGTCCTTATAACATTATCTAGTGTAACCCAGATGCATTCTCCATTGGACTTGACAACCTACCTTTCCCACGAGCTGTACAATTTCTGCCAGGTCTTCTTCTTCCTGCAGAATCTCCTTAGCTTTGGTCCTCAGAGGAACAAACTCTGTGAAGTGTTTGTCATAGTACTCATCCAAGGCACGCATATATTTGCTGTAACTGATGAGCCAATTCACAGAGGGGAAATGCTTACGTTGAGCTAGTTTCTTATCTAAGCCCCAGAACACCTGATTGAAAAAGAAACAAAATAACAATTATTTTTCTTAAAAAATAAATGTTTAAAAAATAATAAAATCTATTTCTTTGTCCTACATAAGCCAATTCTATGGTTTGTTGGTCAAATTCTGTTTCTCTTCAGTATATTCAAAATAGAATAAAACTTGTTGACTTGTCGATTAAGAAGAGTATTCTTGGGCCAGCAGTAGGCGTGGAGATTAAGGTAGCTGGATCCCACATGGCTGGCTATATGGTTCAAGTCTCAGAACCAGCAAACATTCCAAGCACACGTGAATGCTGCTGAAATGCTCAGAGAAGAATGGAGAGAAAGAAATCATGGCATGGCCATCCTCCCCAGGAGGTAATTTCTCATGAAATTGTCCTCACTCTTTGTCTGACTAGCAAGTGCATGTGACCTATAGCAATAAATAAATAAATAAAAGTATTCTCTTCATTTTCAGGGTGGGTAATAGCTACAAATCAAATTGAAAATTTATACAAATTTCTTTAATGCTGTGTCAGATCTGACAGCAAAAGGGAAAATTAATAGACTCTTTTGAACATTATTATGATGCAAAGCTCTCTTTTAATGGCAAAGCTGGCTTGCTCTCCACTAAAATGTGTCTCGGTTCTGGGAAGCAAATGCCTAGGCAGAAGCCACATTTTCCAGCTTTCCTTTCACTTAGGTGTAGTTAACAGAACAAGTGGAGTGACTGTGTCACTTTTGAGCCCAATGTTCACTAAGCGGGAGTGCCCTCTCTGCAGTGTCTCCAGTGCCAGCCAGGCTGGGTGACGACGAAGTTACGAGACGGACAGAGTCCGGGCCTCTGAGTTATTACTGTGCAGACCAGAGCTCCTCTCTGATAGGTTTATCTGCTTGGACCATACTGTAAGGAGAAATACACTTCTGGCTTTTTGCTATTATACTTTTTGGGGGCTTTTTGTTTCTGTAACTAGGGTTATTCTAACTTAAAGGGTAATATTACTCTATCAAACTTTGCTACCTGGATGTATTCTCACTTACATGTTATTATAAACCCTATGTAAAAGGCTGAGGGGGAAAAAAGACAGTATTAAAAACTCTCATTGTTGGGACCAGCAGTTAGCATAATGGCTATGTTGCTGGACTCCCATGTAGTCTACTGCAGTTCAAGTCCCGGACCCAGTGGCTTAAACTCACGCCGGGTGCATGTGCATGCGTGCCCAGGATCCCAAGAGGAGAATGGAGGAGAAGGGATTGTGGCATGACCATCCCCACTAGGGGAGGTGCTTTCTCGCTTTCTGTCTCTCTGTCTCTCTCTGTCTTTCTGGTGAGTGCACATGCTCTATAGCAAAAACCTCTTAAAAAAAAAAAAGACTCTCATTGTTAAGAAATGTTGCTAAAACGGGCTTTACCTCTGCCTTCTCTTCAGTGACTAAATATTTCAAGATAATTTGGTAATGTAACAGCTGGAGTGGGGATGGAGACAGAGGGCAAAAAGCTCAAAAATTGACCATATTAGGAAAAGACATACCTGCACAATACCAAGAGTAGCAGATGTAACCGGATCAGAAAAATCACCACCAGGTGGAGAAACTCTAAAGTTAAAAAGAAAAAAAAGTTATTAGAAATGCTTATAAAAAATACCGTATATGAAAGGCTTTTTTTAAAAATCAATTTTAGTGTAAAAAGTAAATAACCAAGAAATAACCTGTGGGAATAAACTCTTACATAGACATCTTAAAAAAAAAAACATTGAATTCTGAATAAGAATTACAACTATTGACCAACTTCTAGTATGAGAAATGAAATAGATATTTTATTATTAAAATTAGTTTCATTCTCTAATCAACCAGATGAAGCAGGAAGGAAGAGAGGTTCTGAGAACAAAGCATGGATTTCTGTAGTGATCATGAATTTTCACTTGGTTTTGTTTCCGTGAACGTGTGTTGTTTTCTTAGACAAGATTTCACTATGTTGAGATCCCCCTGTCTCAACCTCCCAAGGACCTGAAACCAGAGGCATGCACCACCCACAGCTCTTTCAGACAGGGTCTCGCTATACTGGTCGCTGGCTGTGAGCCTGCACCTCAGCCATCAGAGTAGCTCGACTCCTGGTGTGCTGCCATGTCAGCCTTTTAGGGTACGCCAGGAAAAGCCCCAAGCCACCCCTGTGGCCTAGCCTGCCAAGTGCAGCATCAGGTACACTACCACAACTAGGCCTTCACTTCGTTTTGATCATAATACTGTAAGTATTATAATATGCCTATACTTTTCTAAGTTATTCCTCAGATAGTGTGACTTGGATATATTAACGAAGTCAAACGTATGAGACCAGAACATAGAGAGAGAATCTAAACTTGTACATCTTCAAAGAGCTCATTGGGTGATTCTTGAGTACAACTCTGGTTAAGAATCACTGCTCCCAAAAGAAGTTAAACAGTCTCTCTTTAAAGTAAATAACTTTTTCCTCTTGAAAAGTAAATAGTTTGGGTGCTTACGCTCCTACAATGCTGACACTCCCTTCTCTTTCAGGATTTCCAAGACATTTTACCCTGCCTGCTCGCTCATAGAAAGAAGCCAGACGGGCACCAAGGTATGCAGGATATCCACTGTCTGAAAAATGAAAAAAATTTAAGAATTAAATTTTAAATTAAGTTAAATTAAATTAATTAATTAAATTAAAGAGAGATTTTAAGTCAGCTTCCCCCACCTCAATCCTATTAGTCTTGCTACATGGTAAACACTACAGAGACTCACCTGCAGGCATTTCAGCTAAGCGACCAGAGATTTCTCTAAGGGCCTCAGCCCATCTAGACGTAGAGTCAGCCATCATACTGACGTGATAGCCCATGTCACGGAAATATTCTGACAGTGTAATTCCTAAATTGGGAAGAATAGTACGAGTTACAATGCTAGAACATAAAAGCCCAACTTTATTGCCCTTAAGAAAGCTTAGTATATGAGCGTAGACTGCTAGCTGTTCCTCCAAATCTGTTCTCCCTCTGCTGGGCACATAGCTGAAATGTACTTCCCAGCAGCCCCTGCATTTAGACTGCTAGGTAACTGACAACTAGCTAATGAATGTGAGTCAAAGTAACACGGTCCATGACCAGATAAGTCACATATTCTTTCGTATTCTTCTTTCTGGTCTGTTGAGATGGAGCGATCTTTCAGGAATCCTGGAAGTCATGTGTTGAAACTGGAAGAGCTCTTTTTAGCCTGGGCTGCAGCCCAGAGTGACAAAGTAAACGGCTCCATGATTGCCAGAAATAAACAGACATTATACTGAGCAAATATATGTTTGAATCTTTTGATGCACTCTTAGCCTATCCTAATATACATTTTTTTGGAGAGGTTTTTGCTATAGGGTGCATGTGCTTGCCAGAAAGACAGAGACAGAGAGACAGAAAAGGAGAAATCACACATGGGGGGGATGGCAACACAGCAATCCCTTCTGCAGTCTCCTCTCAGGATCTTGGGCAAGCACACACACGCATCCAGCGTGAGTTTAAGCCACTGGGTCTGGGACTCAAACCATGGTGACTACATGGGAGTCTAGCAACATCGCCATTACGCCAACTGCTGGTCTGGTCCCTATCCCTATTTTTTTTTTTTTTTTGGAGAGGTTTTTGCTATAGGGCGCGTGTGCTCGCCAGACAGACAGAGAGACAGAAAGCGAGAAATCACCCCCCAGGGGGGATGGTCACGCCGCAATCCCTTCTCCTGCATTCTCCTCTCGGGATCTTGGGCACGCACGCACACGTGCCCGGTGTGAGTTTTAAGCCACCGGATCCGGGACGCGAACCGCGGTCGACTATGTGGGAGTCCAGCGACACAGCCATTACGCTAACTGCTGGTTCCCTGATACACATTTTAAAAAAGCAGAAAAAGACATTTTTCTACTTTCTTGAAATAATTAAATATGAAATTAATTTCCAAATGCAGCTTTCATCTATTATGATCTCTCTCTCTCTCTCTCTCTCACACACACACATACACACACACACAAGTACTCATGTTAGCATATTAAAAAACCTTTAACTGGACCAGCTGATAGTGTGGTGTGAGCACACCCTACTTTCACTACGTAAAGAGTGCATGAAGCCGGGTGGAAAAGAAAGAATTCACTGTGAATGGCCGGAGAGCTGCTAGTTTGTTGGCAGAAGAGTAAAGTAACTTAGGTACACAACCCTGGGCCAGAACAAATTCCACAGGTTACCAGGAGGGATTTTTATTGCCCTCATCCACAGCTCGCAGCTATGCCCTCCCACCCCCTCACAATAATAAATATCAGTAGAGGATGTCTAAACAAACATAAAACAATTAAAGAGACAGAACAGAAGACTACAATGGCCAAAAAAACATGCCAAGGAACAAATTACAACTGTGAACATAGTTAATTAAACAAACAAAAATCCTCACAATGCATCCTACCACAAAATAAAATCTCAAGTAATACAGAACAAGAAAATAAGAGATGCTTCATGAGCCAGAAGAACTCAATTGCTGAATGGTTTCTAGTGAAACCATCATTTCTATAAAAGCAACACAAAGTAAACATCTTACCCTGTTGACGGACAAAGGCTAAATAAATAAAAAGATGAGAGGAAACAATATAATGGGAAATAGATAAAGGGTAAGCCCAGTTGGTATATTTGAAGAAGATAGTCATAATGAAAGAGAAAAGCTTTTAAAATAATTCTCAAAATTTTCCCAGAATAAAAGACATATTCATACACTGAAAAAGTATAGTATGTCTATGGAAAAATTTACTAAAACCGTCAATACTAGGATGTATCCTAATATGTTATGAGACTTCACATTCAAAAAGAAATCCTTTGGGGGCAAAGAGAAAAATCACCTATTAAAGGAAAAAAAGCCTCAGATCCTTCTTCAGCATTTAATGCTAGAATAAGAGTTTTGGAGAAAGAAATATTGATCCAAGAATTATATATACACTCAGTCAAATGCTCTTTGAAGGCAATTTAAAAAACCAAACAAGTACTTGTGAAGAAATAAGAACTCAGAGAATAGTTTCCATGAGCCTTTCTGGAAGAAACTTCCCAAAGTCAAATTGTAGCCAATCAAGAAATGAATGGAGAAATTATAGCCACAGGACTGCTAGTGAGCATTAACTCCATTAAACTGTTAGTCCAAGGCTAAATCAAATATTGCATTTATGGTTACAGAATAGAATGTAAATTGTAAAAATCCTAAAACTATAGAAATAAAAGTACCACAAGCTAAGATGTAAGTGGGAGCAAAGCTAGGAGGTAATATATATTAACACACTAATTTTTCTTATCTTTTATATACCCAGTCAAAATACAATAATCCAAAGCTAATAATTTAAGTTACAAAGGTACAGATATATTTAAAGGTGAATCAATGGTAAAAATGTAATAAAAAAATTATGACCAGTAGCTGGTGTAATGGTTATGTCACTGGACTCCCACATAGTTGAATGTGGTTTGAGTCCCAGACCCAGTGGCTTGAAACTCACTCTGGGCACATGTGTGAGCATGCCCAAAATCCAGAGAGGAGAATGGAGAAGAAGGGATTATGGCATGGCCATCCTCCCAGGGGGGTAATTTCTTGCTTTCTGTCTCTCCAGTGAGTACATGTTACCTGTAGCAAAAATTCTCTCAAAATAAAATAAAATAAAAGGTACATTATTTTATGGTCACTAAAAAGATTGGGACCTGGGCTGACTCTTCAGCCTGGTCATTAAGGCAGCAGGATCCCATGTGGCTGACTACGTGGTTTGAATCCTGGACCCAAAGACTTGAGAAACATGCTGGGCATGTATTCATGCATGGCCAAGATATTCGAAGAAGGCAAAGATGGAGAAGGGCTCAATTATGCCCCGCAGTAGGGGTGCTTTCTCCCTCTGTCTCTTTCTGGGAAGGACATGTACCCCTTCTGGCAACTAAAAAAACAAAAACAAAAACCTGGGGCCCAGCTGCTGTGGTGCAGGCCCAAGGGTGCTGCTGCCACATAGGAGGCCCAGGTTCGAATCCTGAGTCAATCTAAACATGTCAGACACACATCTGTGATCCTGGTTGGCAAAGACATTGTAGGAAGTAATGCTGCATAAGACCCTATGGAGAGTACACGTTTCTGTCTTCTCTCTCATGAAATAAGTGGAGGACAAAAAGATTGTGGTAGGTCTGTAAAATTCTCATATTCACTTATTCTCAAGATATAATATGTAAAATGTTCTTTAAAAGCTACAGATGTGATTATATGAATAGTGATATTTTAGAACGAAAAAAAGGTTTTGTACTACATTTAAACTTAAAAGCAGATGTTAATTGCTTTTATTCCAGTTGAAGCTCTTACCAGTATAAATAGAGGCTTCTCTAGCAGCAACAGGCATATTGGAGGTATTAGCTACCAAGGCTGTCCTCTTCATAATGGACTCGACCTTTCCATCGACTTCCATGGTGAGCTAGAGAGAAAAAATAATCTATGAGTGATCCTCCTTTTTCTTTCTCTCTTTCTTTCTTTCTTTCTTTTTCTTTTTTTTTTTTTTTTTTTTAGAGATTTTTGCTATAGAGCATGTGTGCTTACCAGGGAGAGACAGAAAGCAAGAAATCACCCCCCAGGGGGCATGGCCATGCCACAAATCCCTGCTCCTCTATTCTCTCAGGATCTCGGGCATGCACACACATGCGCCCAGCATGAGTTTTAAGTCATCAGGTCCAGGACTCGAACTGCAGTAGACAATGTGGGAGTCCAGCGATGTAACCATTATTCCATCTGCTGGTCCCAGTGATCCTCCAGTTTCTAAATATAACATTTGAGTTCTTTGTTTTCAGCCTGTGCATATTCAACCCCTCTTATAAAATCAGTGTTCTCAGAGTTATATTCCCTATTACTCTAACCCCTCCTCTTTACTCCTCAGTACTCTGAAGAGGATAGGTATTATTTCCACGCATAAATAAAATCCATTACTTTATGAAGAAAAAAAATCACTACAGTAACTTACTAGATCATAAAGCCCAAGCCCATGTAAAGGTTAAAATCTGTAAACGTTTGGTGCATTTTGCCTCTCCCCCAAAAAGTGAAAATCACCAGACCACATAGAAACTTAGATTGGCTGACTTTGTGAGACTCAAACTGCATTCCCCAAAAGAGCCTGACTAACGAGAACGCGGTTCCAGACCCAACACAAAGCTTTATTCAATGCCAGTGAATAAAGTGAATTTTGGTATTTTCTAAAGAATATTATTGGAAGCTTTATATAGACACACCTCTGGGAAGTCCCGGAGCACTTCAGACATCTCATTTCCTCTTTCCCCACATCCCACATAGATGATGACGTCACTGTTGGAGTACTTGGACAGAGACTGCGAAATCACTGTCTTTCCACAGCCAAAAGCCCCAGGGATAGCAGTAGTTCCTCCCTGCACACATCTAGAAGGAAAGGAAGTGTGGATAGTTTTACTTGCTAATAAGTAATAATAAATAATGTAGGCAAGTGACACAAAAACACTAGATAAAGAAAGAAACCACTCGAATATCTTTGTCTGTAAATATACAAAGACATACTGTTACAGGTATAGCTGCTCCTTTGGTCTGTTATTATAATAATGTATGCATCTCTGTAATCATTTTTCTTTAAGTTTTCGCCATAGAGTGTATGTGCTTGCCAAAGAGAAACAGAGAGAGAGAGAGATGGTGAGAAACAAAGTGAGAAATTCCTCCCCCCAGTTGGGAATGGCCACAATCTGTTCTCCTTTATTCTCCTCTTGGAATGCTGGTCATGCACGCACACACACCTGTTGTGATTTTTTAGGACTTTGGATGTGAAATTCAAAGCTAGGTCAGCAATGTGGGAGTCCAGCACCTTAACCACTGCCACCTTCTGGCCCCTATCATCTCTATCATCTTTAATAGCTGAAAAGTAAAAGTATATTCCATAAGGTACTGGAGAAAAGTGATATGAAAAGAAGTTAATTCACAAAAAGACAATCAGGAATTAAAGCTAAAAATATAACTTCTGAAAATTGACTCCTGAGGCAATAAAAGTAACACCTAACAAATTCATACCATGCTATAAAGTTCAATTTACAAGGCTTTATGAAGATCTTAGGTCATTCCATTTTTAGTCATTCAATAACTATTCACTGAGCACATCTCAGGCACTATAAATTGTGCTGGGAGGTGCCAGAGACACAACGAACTGTAAACTAGATAGTGATGTTTCTGTACTCACAAAGCTCAGACTCCAGTGGGGTAAACTAAAAAGTCAACAGGAGATTTTAGCACATTTGGCAACCACATTCAAACTGCCCCTAAAAGGGGCAGTCGAACATGAAAAACTCTTAGGGAAGAGGAAAGTTGATAGTATTGCGTGTGTGTGTGTGTGTGTGTGTGTGTGTGTGTGTATTGGTGACTGAGAAGAAGCTAAGGGGAGCTTCTTAGTAATACTGTGTTTTATCAGAAAAATTCAGAAACATTACATCCTTATTCATAGTGATAGCTTTTTTCAATATAGTACTAATACACACTAACATTTTTTCTCCTCCAAATTTGTCAGTATATTTGGTAGACTAAGGAGGCTTGTCACATCTCCTGTGACTCCACACCTCTGTCAGATCACTTGTAATTTGAGGCAGAGGAAGGACAGGGTATGCCCGAGTTTGGAAATTCAGCAAGCCAGGATGAATAGTGTTATCACAGAGAGTATCTGCGGAGTGGTGGGACTACACAGGAAGAGGTACGATGACTGACACTGGATTAGAGTGGGGTGAGGAGATGCTTCTTAGAAGTATAAGACCTTTAATTTTACCTACTTTATTTATTAGAAATAGAAATTAGCCAGATAAAGGAAATAGCATTCCAAGCAGAAGAACAGCATGCCCCAAAGCCCAATGGCGAGGACCAGTGCTAGAGGAACTAAAAGTCCTTCAGTATCCCTGGAAGATGGCATATACGGAAGTAGGCAGGCAGGCCAACGGCTGAGATAGTGCTACAAAGTAAACAACGGCCAGGTCATAGGTGGCTTTGTGAGGAGTTAAGGATTGTGTATTTGCTTTCAGAGCAATGAAATGCAGTTTAAGATTTTAAAACCAGGCAGCGAAGGATAAGATATGTGTTTTAAATGGACTACTATGTACTATGAAAAACCACCTAGGAAGAAACACCACTGAACACACGAAGTCTGACTAAATGTGACTACTGCAAAAACGTGGGTGAAAGCCTTAATTATGGTCATGGAGTAGGGCGTAAAGACAGAGACTAAAAAACAAACAGATAAATAAATAAACTAGAATAAAAGCACTTGTTGAATAATTAACATATGGGATAATAAGAGCAATCTGTGAGAGAAGACATAGGGTTTAGATACATTTATGGAGAGAGGTAACAAGAAAATGAGCAAGTGTCAAAGAAAGGGGTGGTGATGAAGAGAGTAATTTTCATTTTGAACATGCTAACTTTGGAGCTCCTGTAGGACATTCAGAATCAGATTATGCCATTCATAATCAGAAATATTAAGGGAGTTATGAAAAATTTCATAGAAAATGGAATTAAAGTACAAATTTATTTATGTATTTATTTTTTCGAGAGGTTTTTGCTATAGGGTGCGTGCGCTCACCAGACAGAGACAGAGACAGAAAGCGAGAAATCACCCCCCAGGGGGGATGGCCACGCCACAATTCCTTCTCCTCTGTTCTCCTCTCGGGATCTTGGGCACGCACACACACGTGCCCAGCGTGAGTTTAAGCCACCGGGTCCGGGACTTGAACCGCAGTCGACTATGTGGGAGTCCAGCGACATAGCCATTATGCTAACTGCTGGTCCCCCCCCCTTTTTTTTTGAAAGTACAAGTTTATTACAGCACAAAAATTTTTTGAATTCCATGTAGTTTTCTCATAATATACATATTCAATGAACTTTCTGAAGATTCTTTGTGTGAGTCTAAAGCTCAGAAGAGATCTAAGATTAAGAATGATTATATTGGGAACCAGCAGTTAGTGTAATGGCTATGTCACTGGACTCCCACGTAGTCGACTGCGGTTCGTGTCCCGGACCCAGTGGCTTAAAACTCACGCCGGACGCGTGTGCGTGCGTGCCCAAGATCCTGAGAGGAGAATGGAGGAGAAGGGATTGCGGCGTGACCATCCCCCCTGGGGGGGTGATTTCTCGCTTTCTGTCTCTCTGTCTCTCTCTGTCTATCTGGCGAGTGCACGCGCCCTACAGTGAAAATCTCTCAAAAAAAAAAAAATGATTATACTTAAATCAAGACAGTGATGCCATCCACAGAAAGAATGAAATATAAAAGGAAGAGAAAGGGACCGGCAGGTGGTGTGGTGGTAAGAGGAGCTGGACTCCCACATGGCCAACCGCGGTTAGAGTTCCAGACCTGGCGGCTTTCACTCTCTCTCTCTCCCCAACTCTGCCCCTCTCTGGTCAAATTAAAATAAATAAAGTTAAATAAAATAATTCTTTAAAAACAAAAAAAATAAAATGAAGAGAGAAAAGAACGTATAAGAGGGAAAAACCCTAAGAAATACCAAAATTTAAGAGAGTCTTAAAGAGACTGCTATGGAGAATAAGAACTGTGGACATAAACTAACAGAAAGACCAAAGAAAGAAGGTGTATAAACAAAGAAGTGGAAAGTAATTTTCAAAGCTGTAGAGGTTAACAAAATAAAGATTAACAAATACTATAACTTATTTGTTGAATTGATCAATATGTGGGTGATGATGAAATCAATGAGAAGATTCAAAGGAGTGGTAAAGACAAGGGTGGACAGTGAATCAGAATGGGTGAGTGAACACTAGTAAGAAGGAAAAATCAAAGCAGGGAGAGCTTAGAAACAGTGAGAACAACAGAGAGAGCAGGTATAGAGAGTAACAGATCATGGTAAGAGTAAGACATTTATGGGTGTTGTCATCAGACAATGAGAGTTCCCATCTCATTGCTTCATTTTATTCTGTGAATTAAATCTTGTAGTAATTTCTTGAAAGTAAAGCAAAATATGGTAAAGCCTAAAATTTAAAGAGAAGAAAAAGGGTTTTGAAGAAATAAAAATATGGGGACCAGCAGTTGGCGTAATGGCTATGTCGCTGGACTCCCATGTAATCGACCGTGGTTCAAGTCTCGGGCCCGGTGGCTTAAACTTACACTGGGCATGTGTGCATGCGTGCCCAAGATCCTGAGAGGAGAATGGAGGAAAAGGGACTGTGGTGTGGCCATCCTCCCTGGGGGGTGATTTCTCACTTTCTGTCTCTGTCAGTCTGGCGAGCTCACGTGCCCTATAGCAAAAAAAAAAACCAAAAAACCAAAAACCAAAAAACAAAACAACAACAACAAAAACCTCTCCAAAAAAAAAGAAGTCAAAGAAAATGGAAAATGATAGACTACAAATTAAGAAAAATACTGGGTAACAAAATTGTCAAGTTATACGAACAACAATCTGCTAACTACAAGGTAATATAAGAAAGATAGCTACACTGTTTCAGCATAAATTTTCTTCTAGAACTTTAATTTTTTTCAGAAAGTTTTAGAAATAATGCTTCCCTGAGCCAACAGGTGGCAAGGTGGTCAAGATGCTGGATCCCACATGGCTAACTCCAAGGTTGAAGCCCCAAACCTGGCAGTTTGAAAAATATGCCAGGTGTGTGTGTGTCCAAAATCCCAACGGGAATGGAGGAGAGGGGACTGTAGTATGGCCCTCCCCCTGGGGAGTGATTTCTCACCCCCAACTCCGTTTCTCTCTGGCAAGAGCAAACACCCTCCAGCAAAATTCTTTACCAAAAAAACCCCCCAAAAACAAAAAAACAAACAAAAAACCAAATAAATAAAAATAAATAATAAAATGTAAGAGTGGTTCTCAACTGCAACTGTAAAAAAACAAAATCTTCCCTGATTTTGACACTATAATAAGTAACGGCAATAGGTAAAGCCTATTTAAATACTTAGCCATTACTCTAGATAAAATTTGTTATGGTATTAAACCCGCAAAAATCTGCAAAGGTAATAACTCTGAGGCAAAACTATGAGACACAACTCAAACATACGGAAAAAGGGCATCAAGAACTCTCTGGCCAGTCAGCAAAGGATGATTAGCCGGCAGCTTCTCAGTGACAGGCCGAACTTGCCGCACGGGCCACACCTGTACCATGCTGAACTTCTCCTTCACACCTTCAAATTCAAGCTCCAGGACAACATCCTACAAAAAGACAGCAGAATTTTAAGTACAGATTTGTGAATGTTTCCTCCTCCAAAATCAAAGAAAGCAACCCCAAATTCTTGGTGGGAACAGTAAGGTGGTTCATCGAAGTGAGAAAGGACCCTTATACTTTGTATGGTAAAATCTTGATGTATGATCCTTAATTTATTTTTAATAAGATACATTTATTACTGTTTTAATAATTGAATGAAACTTCAGGAGTTTTTTTTAGAAAGAATATATCAAATGAAACAACATAGGTAAAATAAATTACATGTAAACACATGTAATTTTCACAAAGAATATACAACAAGATGCTTCTGGGACTAGGAGAGTGGAAAAGCAAATGCTTTCACAATTTACTTTCCATTTCTGTCTTACTTTTATTATAATAGCCTTACAATGCTTTAATGAAAAATATCTATCAGTTAACAATTCCCAAATATTTAATAAAGCTACTTTTTTTTAATTGCCAGACAGCACATGCACTTGCTAGGGCAAGACAGAGAAAGCACACACACACACACACACACACCCGTGGAGGTAGTTGTGCTGTCTCCCTCCTCCATTTCTCCATCCCATCAGGACTTTGAGCACCTAGGTACACACATGTTTTTCAAGAACCGGGGCCTAGAATTCAAATCATGGAGGGCCATGTGGGATCCAGCTCCTAATGAACAGTGTTTAATCACTACGATATGGGGCTGACCCTAAAAATTTTTAAATACTTAAACTAAATATTTATAAAAGCAAAAAGATAGTAATACAATAAATTTTATTAACTTTGACATGGTTTCAACTATTCACAAACAACTATAAAGTTCATGGTCCTATGAAAATCTGTAATGTTTCTGAAACATAAATTTGAATTGTCTGCTTCAGGGTAGTTCATCCATTTGGAGTGGGTGTCTCTAAGCTACTGAGTTCATTAGTGTACTTCATGGCTCAGAATCCAACTTTTACTCAACTCTTGTCTCTAAATGTAGTACAGTATAGTCTTAAGTCTTCTGAAATGATTAAGAATAATGTTATCTCAACATGTTTTACTGGGAAGAAAGTATATATTGGGTTGTCGGGAAAGTCATGAAGCATTTTTGCATAGAAACTGTCATGACTTTCCCGACAACCCAATACTATGTTTTGTTTTGTTTTTTAAGTTTATTCACTCATTTTTTTCCATGAAAGAAAGAGATAGAGAGAGGTATCCTTCATAGCTCTTCAATGCTACAATTCATCCCCAGTCTCAGCCAGCCTGGGTCACGGTCACACACGTGCCCAGCATGCTCAAGGAGATCCCAGGGCACAAACCCAGGACCTTTCCCATAGGGGTCCAGTTGTATTGCCACTGTGCCACCACCTGATCCATGATGGTCTTCTTAATAAAGCTATCATTATACCCATAAAGATTATGATGGGTATACTATGGATGACACTATCTAACTATAAATAAGATTATAAGAATAAATTTTAAATCTATTTACAGTCATCAAAGTTTTTTTATTTTTGTTTATGTTTTTTTTTTTTAAAGGTTTTTGCCTTAGGGCACAAATGCTTGCCTGAGACAGAGACAGAGACAGTGAGAGGTAAAGTAAGAAATCACCCCTTATGGGGGGTGACCATGGCACAATCCCTTTTCCTCCATTCTCCACCCAGGATCTAGGGAACACATGCACAGGCATCCGGTTTGAGTTTCAAGCCACCAGGTCCAGGACTCAAACCGAAGTTGGCCATGTGGAACTCCAGTGATGTAACCACTATGCCATCTGCTGTACCCCAGGTGTTAAAGTTTTAAGCAGTTTACCCAAAATAATCCATTATATAATTAATTATGTAAAGACTGACTGACAATTAAAATCAAAGTTTATTCTATACCTAAAGAACCGGGGCTTTAAATAAAAGTGCCATTAGGTAAGAAGGCAGAAATGTGTTGTACTTTTCAAAAAATAAACAATATGTTCTACCTTTTGTATTCCCAAGTCCAAATTAATTTTAAAAAAAAAAACCTAAAAAAATAATTACAGATGTCATTGAAAGCCTACATATTAAATAGCAATTCTTTAACTCTTAGGGGACTAAAATTAGGCAACTATCATATCTATTGGGTCATCAGAAAAGTCATGATGTATTTTTCTAGGTAAAGTAGACTTTTCTGACAACCTAATAAATATGGCCACTCAGGAGCCAACCAGTGGTTAAGGCAGCTGGATTCCACAAGGCCAACTGCATGGTTTGAGTCCCAGACTCAACAACTTGAAAAACATACCAGGCATGTGTGTGCACCTAAAACTGCAAGAGGAGAATGGACAAGAAAGGACTGAGAAGTGCTTTTTCCCATTTTCCCTTTCTGTCTCTCCATCTTTCTCTGTCTGTTTCCTGCAAGCACACATGACCTATAGCAAAACTGAAAAAAATAAAATAAAATAAAAGCCACTCTGTGGGATAAAGTTTAAGAAATACTTACAGAAGTATCGTAATTCCCAGGTGGAGCAATGTAAGTTACAGTTCCTCTGTTCCGTGGAGGTAACATAATTTTATGTTTGATGAGCGAGTTCTCATTGACAATTCCATAAATATCTCCACCAGTGATATGACTACCGACCTACAGAACAAATGCATTTGCTATTTAAATCTTCAAATAAATATCAAATACATTCACTTATGCTGCTAAAATTTAAAGCATTTGCCTCACTTACCAATAAAATATATTAATTCTAGAGTCCTGATAGTAGATTTAAAGAAAAATTTAAACTAGGGTTCTGTAGTCTATTTTTATTTGGACTAAGAGTACCAATTCACTAAACATTCAGCTTACATTCTTTCACCAACTTTAGAAATTCTTGGCTATGCAGACATACCCGTAAGTTCTTGCAAGGTGTAAAATCCCATTTGACATCTCTGCTAAGAGCAGACACATTTACTCCTCTGGGGATGTAGATGCTTTGCGTCTGACTGCTGATATCTGACAAAGGTCTTTGAATACCATCAAAAATGGCTCCCATAATGCCAGGACCAAGTTCTACTGAGAGGGGTTTACCAGTGCGGAGTACAGGATCTCCAACAGACACACCAGCTGGCAGCAGTAGTTGAGGAAAATTCACCATGAAAGCTTAAAGATACTATTAAACAGGAAATACCACACTTTACAGGGAAATACCAATGAGCTAAAACAGAGGTTCTCAAACTTTCTCAGGTCACAATATCCTTAGTGTTTTAATAATTTCTTCATAGCGTCCTAAGACAAAAGATATACCTACCAATTCCATGATGAAATAGTTACGTCCAATAAGAAAGAAAACAGTTCAAAGCAGTCTAAGGAATGAGGGGGTGGAGGTGTTAAACTGGTCCAAAGAGAGATGTACAGAGAATCTCAAGCTATGTCCCTAGCACAGCTGTCTGAACTGGCTCAAGAACACAACTTAAATAAGGGTTCCCTAACTAGCTGGCACTGAAATAACTACACCACTGCATATTGTTCACTGCAACCCTATTCCTGTCTGTAGCTATGTTACTGGAATGTATGACGCCTGAAAAATCAAAAAGCAAAATGAAAGCTTGTTATTCTAGTAAGCCAAGGTAGGGTTCTAGGGGGTAAATTTTTTTATATATACCCTTCTTCTTTCCTATTTTTCCCTATAAATCTATCCCTCTTCATAGAGCATTTTGAAGGATATAGCAAGTGGGATCTATGTTCATGTTTTGGCTTGAATAAACTTTTGCTTGCTTAACAAGCTCAGGTCAGACCTTGTAATTCGGGCTGACTCCAAACAATTTATTAAGTATATATAGCCTAACCTCAGAGAAAACAATGTGAAAGAATAAGAAACATAAGCTAAAAAGAAAAAGAATATTACTTTTAATCCTAAATAAATTCACATGAACAGGATATATGTCCCTATTGAGCACTGCACAATTTTTAAATCTTGCAATCAGATCAGAAATTTGTTCCTTATCGATTTTCACATGATACTTGCTTTTTAGCTTAGCAACCAGCAAAAACTCACAAAGATATGACATCATTGACAAGAATACAGTGCAGCAAAATAAATGGAAGTGCTTATTATCTCAAGGTACCAGTTGACGTGGTGTCTGAGAAAATGTCTAATAGTTCTGTGTTAACCTCAAAAATTTAAAAGACCCTGCTGCAGCTGCCCAGGACACCTTGGCACAGAGTTTGGGGACCATAGGGTTAAAAAGAGAAGCAAAAGCTTCTCATGAGTAATTATGCATTAATTATACATTGAATATATTAATGAAGAATATTAGTCTCCTAAAAAAGGATATTAGTAGTACCTAGTTAAAAATTTTAAATCTTAAAAATTAAGGGAACTGACTTAGAAAAGGAATGAAATCTGCAAATGAGCATATGCCCTTGTTCTCATGTATTTGTTGATAGGAGTAAAAGGAATACAACTTTTGAGAAGAATTTAGCAATATATATCAAAACTAAAAATGAGTAAGGCTTTACCTAGAAATCCATGTTCTATATACTGTTTATAAAAGCAAAAGACAGGAGCCAGCAGGTAGTGTAGTGGTTAAGTGCTAGACTCCCACATGGCCAACCAGGGTTCGAGTCCTGGACCTGGCAGCCTGTTCTTAAAATATCTTATTAAAATAAAGAGAAAGAAAGAAAGACTAAAGTTAAATAATTCATAAAGAAAAAAAAGAAAAGACAAGAAACAACTAAATTTTCTATCATAAAGACATTGATTAATAAATTATGGTAAGTCCACATGATAAAGTACGTCTAACTAAAAAAATAATAGTAGTTTCTTTTCTTTTCGTTTTTCTTGGGGAGATTTTTACTGTAGGGCGCGTGCGCTTCCCAGAGAGACAGAGAGACAGAAAGTGAGAAGTCACAAATTATATCCCAGGGAGGATGGTCACACCACAATTCCTTCTCCTCCAGTCTCCTCTTAGGATTTTGGGGATGCACGTACAAGCACCCGTCGTGAGTGTGAAGCTGCCAGGTCCGGGACTCTAACAGCGGTCAATCACGTGAGAGTCCAGCGATGTAACCATTATGCCATCTGCTGGTCCCAAGAACACTCGTTTCTACAAATAGCTTAGAAAAATCTTCAATGCATGCATTTTTATTTCCGATATTTAATTATATAATTTTTCAAATGTACAACAAAATTAAAAGAATTTTATAGTGAACTACCCTACCTCTACCATTTAGATGCCACCATTAACATTTTACCATATTTATCACACATCTATCCATCTTTTATAGTACGTACATCTTTAAGTGGAAAAAAAAGCAAGATGCATCACAGTGCATATAATATGCCATGTTGTGGGGAAAGAAAGGAAGGTAAATTACATATTTATATTTACTCAGATTTGTAATTGAGAAATTAGAATGAAACACGATAAAAGGAACCAGTGAAAGTGATTCTGTGTGTGTTTGTGTGTTTTGGAAAATTGGCCACAAGTAGGAGGACAAAGGTAGGTAGGGCTGTCACTGTACACATTTCATTTATTTTAAATCTTTAAACCATGTGAAAGATTATCTGAAAGATAAAGATAACAATAGAAAAAAATCTTTTAAATTAGTCATGGTTTTATAGCTACAAAGATTTACATTAATTTTTTCAGATGATTTTATTTTAATTTAGCAACTAGTACTCATACAGAGAGAATGATGGCCTGCAAGCATATGTTTTAGAATGGGAAAAAAAGTTGGGGCCAGCAGGTAGTGTAGTGGCTAAGGGTACAAGACTCCCACATGACTGACCGTGGTTCAAGTCCTGGACCTGGCAACTTTCTCTCTCTCTCTCTCTCTCTCTCTCGCCCCCCCCCCTCTCTCTCTCATTCTGTCCCTCTCTGGTCAAATTTAAATGAAAATAAAGTTAAATAAAATAATTCTTAAAAAAAAAAAGGTGTTATACTCCCATATAGCTGACCATGGTTTTGAGTCTCAGACCTGACAGCTTAAAAATCACACTGGGCACATGTGCATGCATGCCAAATATCCCAAGAGGAGACTGGAGGAGAAGGGATTGTGGGACGGCCATTTCTGCTGTGGGTTGATTTCTCACTTTCCCTATGTCTCTCTCTGGCAAGTACATGCGATCTATGGCAAAAAAAAAAAAAAAGGGGAAAAAGTTGTAAGAAATATATCTTGATTTAACACTCAATGAATTAATTCTGACCTTGAAGATAAATCTAAGTAAAAGATACAAATGAACCCCCCCCCACAAAAGTGATTCATCTTTTTTTTTTTTTTTAAAAGTGATTCATCTTAACGAGGCCAAACTCTTTATCTGCTTTTTCACAGAAAGTTGAAAATACTGTTTAAATGCCCACAGTAACAACCAAATAAATAGTAAATTTTTTCTAGTGCTAAGGTTATAATGTAACATCATCTAGCACTACTCAATAGAATAAGGTAGAGAGTAGCAACTGATTTATGGATTTATTATTTTAAGCAGAAACCTTAATTTGAGAATTCTTACCACACAAATGAACAGTTATTCTGCTTACACTTTCTTCAACAGTCCCACTGAAGAAGAATTCCAATCAGTTTGCAAAGTACTGAAACATTAAGAGCAATAAAAGTTCAGATGATAGTAACTTCTTAAAAACAGCCCTCAATTCTAGTACTTTTCTCCCTTTCTTTAATATACTCCTATATACAGCAGGTCTCTATGACACTGGCATTTCATGCTCCTAACATCACTGATTGCGGTTGCTTCTATGTTTGGCTTTAATCCTCAAATTCCAACATATAGAAGGTGGCAAGAAATTGAAAAAAAAAAAGGATACAGGTTTCTTCATACACCTGAATAGTAGCCATGTCACCTTCCAGTCGAATAATCTCTCCGACCAACTCGCTGTGGCCCACTCTCACCAGCTCGTACATGGCGGCACCTGCCATGTCGCATGCTGTGACCACTGAAGAGGAACAAAAGACGGTTTTGATAGTTTCGGATTCTAGCGCTCTGTCAACAGTTTATAATTTCACACAAAGATGTACTTTTAGCATATGATACAGAGAGGTAAGCAAAATAAAGCAAGGCTAAAGATTATTAGTTATATAATATACATAATAACTACTTTCAAATGTTTGAAGTTCTGAAGGCAAACTCTTACCTGGTAACAATGAGGCACATTCTGATCAGTCCTAGGTTGCTATGCTACATAAAATGATGGTTTTTTAAATAATAACAAAAAATTGGAAAGTAAAAATTGGAAAAGCAGCTTAGTTAGCATAGCCAGCTGCAGTGGCACTGCAGTGACAAAACAATCCCTAATGTTGAGGCCATATGGGAAGGTCCTGGGTTCATATCCCAAAGTCTCCCTGTGCACTCTGCCTGTGATTTGGGCTGGTTGCTGTCAGTGATGGAATCGTGGCCAGAGGACCCTGTTGGAGTTGATGTTCTGTCACTCTCTGCCTCCCTCTCTCAAGGAAAAAGTAAATAAAAATAAACTTTAAAAAAAAAAGGAAAGAAAAAAATTTTAGCTAGTAGTATGGTAGAATGTCACTATTACCTTTAAAAGCTAATACCTAAAAACAACATTTTACTAAAGCTTATACCAATGGTTTTTGTTTTTTGTTTTGTTTCTTATTTTGTTTTTTGGCATAGGGTGAGGGTGCATGTGCTCTACAGAGACAGACTGTGAGAGGGAAAGTGAGAAATCACCCCCTAGGAGGGATGGCCATGCCACAATCCCTTCTCCTCTGTTCTCCTGGGATTTGGGGAACAGTTGCACAAGTACCCAGCATGACTTTCAAACCACCAGGTCCAGGACTTGAACCATGGTCAGTCATGTGGGTGTCCAGGACCTAACCACTACACAACTGCTGGCCCCAGTTTATACCAATGATTTTTAAACCTCTGTGGGACATGAACCCTTTTGCTAAACTAATTATAGTTTTACCTCATAAAACTCACACATGCATCTACAAATTTTTTTTCACAGACCATATAGGTTTATAATTTATCACCACTACTGGGTAAATTCCCAATTAAGATCCTTCACTTCTTATAATTACCAACTCAGAATTTGCACTTACTATTTTAGAGCACATTGTCTAGTAAGCAAAAATTACTTTTCTGGCAGGGAAGGAAAGTTAACACATTTTTAGATATGTGTAAAAAATAAATCCATTTTAATATTTAGACTTCTGATAAAACTGATTAGAACTATATAATATTTCAGTGTAAACTATTGAAGTATTAATATTTAAGTAACCTGTTTTAGAACAATGAAGACTTTATCATTCCATAAATATTTACCTCTACATGTACTATTAGGTCATTGGGAAAGTCATGATGCATTTTTGCATACAAAAATCTGTCATGGGACCAACAGGTGGCATGGTGGTTAAGGGTGCTGGACTTCCACATGACTGACTGTGGTTTGAGTCCTAGACCTGGCAGCTTGCTTTCTGGCTTTCCTTCTCTCTGTCTTCCTCTCTCTCTCACTCTGTCCCTCTCTGGTCAAATTAAAATAAAGTTAAATAAAATTATTATTATTATTATTATTATTATTATTATTATTATTATTATTATTATTATTATTATTATTATTATTATTATTATTATTATTATTATTATTATTATTATTATTATTATTATTATTATTATTATTATTATTATTATTATTATTATTATTATTATTATTATTATTATTATTATTATTATTATTTTGGAGAGGTTTTTCACTATAGGGTGCGTGCACTCGCCAGACAGATAGACAGAGAGACCGAAAGTGAGAAATCACCCCCCGGGGGGATGGCCACGCCGCAATCCCTTCTCCTCCATTCTCCTCTTGGGATCTTGGGCACATACGCACACGCGCCCGGCATGAGTTTTAAGCCACCGGGTCCGGGATTCAAACCACGGTCAACTACGTGGGAGTCCAGTGACATAGCCATTACACTAACTGCTGGTCCCAAATAAAATTATTATTAAAAAATAAATTAAAAAATCTCTAGGGAAAAAAACTGCCATAATTTTCCCAATGATCTAATATATAATAATAATTAAGATGCATTAAACTACTAAAGATAACAAAGGTGGAAAATCATATTTCAGGGGCCAGCAATTGGTGCAGTGGTTAAGGTCCTAGACTATCATATGGCTGACTGCAGTTCGAGTCCCAGACCCAGTGGCTTGAAAATCATTCTAGGCATGTGTACATGTGTGCTCAAAATCCCAGGAGAAGAACAGAGAAGGGACTGTGCCGTGGACATTCCCCTTAGGAGATGATTTCTCACTTTGCCTTTTACTGTTTCCCTCTGGTAAACATAAGTGCCCTGTAACGAAAGACCTGCACCCTTACACCCACAACAAAACCATATTTCCTAAGTCAGAACGGGGGCCATTTCTCTATTATGTTATTAAGTACTTCAGAATTAAAAATGGGCATTCTAGCCCTGTGGCCTAGTGGTTAAGGTAGCAGGATCCCACATGGCTGACTGCACAGTTTAAGCCTAAACCCAGTGGCTTGAGAAACACCAGGCGCATGTGCATGTGAGCTCAAAATCACAACAGTATGGAGAAATGGAAGATAAGGGATTGCAGCATAACTGTTCCCCAAAAGAGGGAGTGCCCTAATTCTCTTCCTCACTGTCTTTTTCTCTCCGGCAAGCACATGTGACCTCTAGCAAACTTTAAAAAAAAAAAAAAAGAGAGTTAAAAATTGGTTTCAGGAGCAGTTTACATTTCCATAGAATATTTTTATATAAATTCTTTGATGATGTTCTTTTATCTTTTCTCTAAAAGTACTTGTGTCTGTCCTAAAGACCTTTATGATCATTGAAGGGGAAATAGTTTTTCTGAAATGGCAAGGGATTGAAAACAGTGAGATGTAGACCCCTTTTATTACTTGCCAATGAGTTCAAGTTCAAACGTCAAGCTCTTGGGGAGGAATAAAAAGACAGTGACTGTCAGTCTTCATTTTCATAAATTAAAAAAAAAAGTTTCACCACTTCCACTCTGGGATAAGAACAAGAAAAACACTACAGTATGAGGCTTATCAAAAGACTTAAGAGAGAAATTAATTTCCACGGCACCTCGGACAACTACATTTGGACATTTGGGAGTGTTCAATAACAAAATGAACACTGGAATGAGATTTATTTGAAAAGGAGTATCTTAAGTTTTGGCAAAACAGACATAAACTTTAAAACTGCTTCCCATTATGGGACCAGCAGTTAGCGTAATGGCTATGTCGCTGGACTCCCACGTAGTCGAACGCGGTTTGCGTCCTGGACCCGGTGTCTTAAAACTCACGCCGGGCGCATGTGTGTACGTGCCCAAGATCCCGAGAGGAGAATGGAGGAGAAGGGATTGCAGCATGGCCATCCCCCCTGGGGGGTGATTTCTCGCTTTCTGACTCTCTGTCTGTCTCTGTCTGTCTGGTGAGCACGCACGCCCTATAGTAAAAACCTCTAACTGCTTCCCATTATTATATCAGATCATAAGACTTCTTTGCCATAGGTAGGTAGTTGCATGATCTGAAATGATTCAGAAGGACTTATAAATGCAAAGAGCAAAAGCTGATATTGCTAAAAAATGTTTCTTAGGCAAGTATTACTGTTAGAAGAAAATTAATATTTACGAAAGACTACTATCTGCAAGGTATCATATATTCAAAGCTATAAACTTCATAGTTTTTAAGCTCAAATTTATTGAAAAAAATTAAGCCCTGAACTTAGATAATCAAAGTTAGGTCCACCTTTATGATGAATATATTTCTTCAGTTTGAAAACCACTATGAGCCTTAACTCTTCAGACTGTTATGCACCACTTACCTGGTCCTGAGACTCCATGCACATAACCAAATGTGCTTTCTTTATCTTCATCAAGTATTTTAGGTAGCTTGGAGAAATCCATCTGGTTAATTTACCTATGGTTAAAAATAATAATAAGTTATAATTACAAATCCTACAGCAGAAAAACCAATGTAGGTAATCAACTCGTTGGTGTATTTTTGAATTATAATACCTCTTCAAGGTAAAATAAAGTGTAAAACTCTTAAAATTTAGTTAAGTACTTCATTCCTGGATGGTTCTATGGTTCTATAGATGCTCCTCAACTTAAGATGGGGTTACAATAAGCCATGATTAAGTTCAAAATACCATTGGTCAAAAATGCATTTAGTATCTCAATAAACCCATCATAAAGTCAAAAAATCCTTCAGTGAACCACTGTAAGTCAGGAAGCATTTGAATATTTTAACAGTTGAATTATATCTCTATGTAAACTATTCCATAGGAAACACCAAGGGCTATAACCCCAAAAATGAAGCCTTTTCGATTACACGTACACTCCAGCCACCCTGCTCCCCAATCATCTCTGCCACTTCTTCCACTACTCAAAACCAAACCAAAAAAACCACATGCATATTCTACCTCAGGCCTCTGTCAGAGGTGCTCTTCCCCCAGGTTATCTGTTCTTCCATCAGCTCCCTACTCAGAGGTCACCTTTCCCATGAGGCTTCTCTGCCTATCAATTTAAAATTACAACACCTCCAGCTCTCTTTCTGCTTGATTTTTTACTATATCATTTTTCACAATATGACAAATTACAACGTATTTTTACACTGAAAAGATTTTTTTATTATCTATTTTTAAAACTTTACAGAAGCATTTTTTTTTAGAACACAGGACAGTTTAAGAAATTCAACCTCTTACTTTACTAATGTGTGACCTGAAAAACTCAATTAATGAACTAAGTCCAAATTGAAAACTGGTGACAGATTCTAAAGTGGAAGGTTTACTTCCCCTTCACCCCATACCCATAGGGCACGTGTGTTCACCAGAGACAGGGAGAGAAAGGGAAAGTGAGACATTACCCCATGGGGTATGGCTTCACTGTAATTTCTTTCCATTAGTATCCTCTTGGGATTTGGGCCATGCATGTCCAAGTGCTTGATGTGATTTTCAGGCCTCTGGGTCTGGGACTTGAACCATACAGCTGGCCATGTAGGATCCAGCGTCTTAACCTCCAAGCCATCTGTTGACTTCCAGAAGGTTTACTTTAAAAAAAAATTTATTTAGGGGGCCAGCAGATGCTGATGGCAAAATGGTTATGTAGCTAAACACCCACATGGACTACCACAGTTAGAGTCCCAAACCCAGTAGCTTGAAACTCGAGCCAGGTATGTATGCATGCATGCCCAAGATCCTGGGAAGAAATGGATAAGGGACTACACCACAGCCATCCCCCTTGAAGGGTGATTTCTCACTTTCCCACTCACTGTTTCTGTCTCTTTCTCTGGAGAGTGCACATGCCCTAAGGTGAAAACCTCTATCAAAAAAAGAAATTAAAAATTCTATTTATTATGTTTAAATTTGCTATAGGGCACATGTGCTTACCAGAGAGAGAGAGAGAAGACGGTGCAAAAACAAGCCACAGTCAGCCATGTAGGAGTCTAGTACCTTAACCACCATACCATGTGCTGGACCCCAGAAAGATTACTTTTGACTGGTTGTCTAACTTAATAATTACTGACAATTTAATAAGGAAGATGAAATACATGTACATATAAAAACTTAAATGATGTTCTCAAACATCTATAAAAGAAGAATCAAGGATCAGTAAGTCATTCAATGCCAAATAAGAGATGCTATTTACTAAAAATTTAAAGATTAGAATGTTTAGGGAAAACATCTTGAAGGTCAGTCAGAATTTACATAAACTAGAAAAGGAAGGGCTAGCAAAGACATTCCAACTGGGGCAATAAGAAAAGAATGAAGATAAATATTTTAAAATAGTGACCAGACCAGTCTGGGCAGTGTAAAAGTTTCACACTGGGGTGGGGCCGGCAGGTGGTGTGGTGGTTGGGGGTGCTGGACTCCCACATAGCCAACCACAGTTTGCAGTTCGAGTTCCAGACCTGGTGGCTAGCTTCCTCACTTTTCCTCTCTCTCTCTCTCTCTCTCTCTCTCTCTGTCCCTCTCTGGTCAAATTAAAATAAATGAACAAATAAATAAAAAAAGTTAAATAAAATAATCCTTAAAAACAAAAGTTTCACATTGGGGCAACAGTGAATGAGCATTAAACTGAATGCTAGGAAAGCAAGTGGACTGACTTATTCTATTAAGAAAAGGATATTTGGGACCAGCAGTTGGCGTAATGGCTATGTCGCTGGACTCCCACGTAGTCGACCGCGGTTCGTGTCCTGGACCCGGTGGCTTAAAACTCACGCTGGGCGCGTGTGCGTGCGTGCCCAAGATCCCAGGAGGAGAATGGAGAAGGGATTGCAGCATGGCCATCCCCCCTGGGGGGGTGATTTCTCGCTTTCTCTCTCTTTGTCTCTCTCTGTCTTTCTGGTGAGTGCACGCACCCTATAGCGAAAACCTCTCAAAAAAAATAAATAAATAAAACCTATTGAAAGACAAAAGGCAGGAGTGAAAACAAAGATTCTAACTATACTGATATGGAAGGCCTTACAAGTCAGCAGAATACAATTCGAAAGAAAAGTACCATAATGGGTGATGAGGTAAAGACTATCAGCAATTTGGTAGTTTGTAGAGTGTAAGTAACTGGAAATGATGGAATTGACTTTGACATTAAAAAAAAAGAAAAGACAAAAACAACCAGATAGGATACTCATTCATGCCACAGTAAAGGAAACAAAGATTCTGGTGTCCTCAGCAAGAAAATTAAATGGGAAGAAGCGTAGTCAAGGGAGCGAGTAAAGAAAAGGAGAAGCTGGTTTATTAAAATGTTGGCTTCCTAAGTAGTAGTATGAGAGGCCACTGAGTAAAAGCAGGTATGGGACTGCAAAAGAATGGAATATAAAGAGAAAGAGCAAGATTACCCAGAAATCTTTTTACTAGGTAATAAGGGGGGAAAATGAAATTTAAAAAAATCTTTCACTTTTTAAGTAGCTTTATTGAGGTACAAATGATATATCACAAAATACACAAATCTTATTTGTACAGTGTGGTAAGTTTGGATATATGCAACACCAGTGGAATCATCACAACTGATGTAATAGACATATCCAACGCTTTTTAAATGTGCATCATCCTCATGTCCCTTTGGTTTTTGTTTATTTGTTTGTTTTATTTTGTTTGAAACAAAGTTTAAAGAAAAACCAATAGAGGGACTGGCGGGTGGCAAGGTGGTAAAAACGTAGGACTCCCACAAAGCCAACCACAGTTTGAGTCCTGGACCTGGTGGCTTGCTTTCTCACTTCCTGCTCCCTTTCGCTCTGTCTCTCTTCGGTCAAATTAAGAAAAAAACAAATAATAAATAAAGTTGAACAGATGGTTCTTTAAAAAAAAAAACTACTGGGGCCAGCAGATGGCATAGCGGCTATAGTGCTGGACTCCCACATAGCCGAGCGGGTCAAGTCCCAGATATGGATGCTTTGAAAAAATACCAAGGTTGAGCCTAAGATCCCTAGAGGAGAATGGAGGAGAAGGGATTGCAGTATGGCCATCACCCCCCACCCCCCAGGGAGTGATTTCTCACTTTCTGTCTCTGTGTCTCTGTTTCTGGTGAGCCCACGTGCTCAAAGGCAAAAGTCTCTTTTTTTAAAAAAAAGACAAACCTATTGAGATGGGAAATGGGTTCGGCAAAGTCTTCAAAGAAGTAGTGAACAAGGAAATGAAGTTGAATTTCAGTTTTTAGAGAATCAAAGATTTTCACTCAGAGGAGAGAGAACTTGACAATAAGTCTAATTTCCTCCACAAATACAGATACTTCCTGTAGAGCATTCATGATACATGGTCATCTGCCTATTAAGGGGAAACAGCATGAGATCTTGAGTCAGCAGACTTGAGATCACATTCTTGTTCTACCAATGACACATTGTAGGACATTTTGCACAAATCAAAATCTTTTAATATCTTCATATTAAAATTAAGACTCACTCTACCACTTACCCCAGAAATGTGATTAACTACAAATTTGTTTACATGTTTATTGTGAAATAGAAAATAACTTACAAAACTTTTGTTATTAATACTACTATTTGAACAGGGACTCAATTTTTTTTTAAACTATTTTATTCATGATAGAGAACAGGTGAGAGAGAATCAAAGAAAGGGGGTGGGGTGGAGCACCTTGCACAGGGTCTGGTCACATGACTATCCCTTTCCTCAAGCTCTCCCGCTTCTCAGGAGCCTAGAAGCAGAGGCCTACATGTTTCAGGTGACAGGGTCAGGACTCAACCAAAGGTCAGCCCTGTAGGCTTCAAACCTGCAGTTTCTCTACTAAGTGTGCAACAGAGGCTAGGCCTGGGGCTTCAGGTTTGGAAAAACATTCCAATTCAGAAATCTCATCGTAGTAGAGAATTCTATCTTGTACCCAAAGGAACTGGTAACTTCTAGCCTCAGGTCTGGTGTCTTCCAACTACTTGTCACCACACCCCACATGATATATTCCCTCTCCAGGCAAATTATCTTTACGGCCTTCAACAGTAACCCAAAGGATAATCTTTTTTGCTTCCGTCACACAGAGGCTACTTTTTCTGTATTTTATAATATATGGCGTCTTCAAAAAGTATACAAAAATGCATAATAAAAGAATGGATTTATATTTCTTTGAACCAAAAAGCGATATACTGAAGAATATCACTTCATCTATTCTAAACCCTTTCTGTCATTCAAAGACAGAGGCCAAGACTTTGAGGCAGACCGAGTTTGAATTTATAAATTGTGCCCTTGGGCAAATCAAATTCTTTCATCCTTTGAGCCTCAGTTTCATCTAAAATCTAATGGTGTTGTATGAAGTAACTCACAGTATGCATAACAGAAAGGTAATACTAATGACTACTAATTTTACTGTTAACACAATCTAGAATCACCTAATTTCTAAAAAGTGTCTAATGTACTCTCTCATCTTGTTCTTTGAACAAAATCTAGTCACTTAGCTGTTTTTCCCCTAGC